TTAATTAGAAAGAAGATTATTTTACATGTCAATCCCAGGTTCATCTCCCTCTCCTCCTCCCTTGCCCCCCCCAACTAACACTCTGCCTATCTCATATATATTCTGTTCCCCAGGGAGGGTGAGGCCTTCCATAGGGGGTCTTCAGAGTCTGTCATATCCTTTGGGATAGGGTCTAGGCCCACTGCCTTGTGTCTAGGCTCAGGGAGTATCCCGACACGTGGGATGGGCTCCCAAAGTCCATTCCTATGATAGGGATAAGTACTGATCTACTACACGGGGCCCCATTGTTTTTTGAGGTCTCCTCACTGACATCCACATTCAGGGGTCTGGATCAGTCCCACTCTGGTTTCCCAGCTATCAGTCTGGGGATGAAGAGCTCTCGCTTGTTCAGGTCAGCTGTTTCTGTGGGGTTCACTAGCCTGGTCTTGACCCCTTTGCTCATTAGTTCTCCTCTGCAACTGTATTTCAGTTCAGTTCAAGGTTTAGTTGTGGGTTTCTACTTCTACTTCCACCAGCTGCCGGGTGAAGGCTATAGGATGGCATATAAATTAGTTATCAATCTCATTATCAGGGGAGGGCACTTAAGGTAGCCTCTCCTCTGTTGTTTAGGTTGTTAGTTGGTGTCTTCTTTGTAGATCTCCCGACATTTCCTTAATGCCTGACTTTTCTGTAAACCTAAAATGTTTCCCTCTATTATGGTATCTCCATTCTTGTATCTTCTATTCTATAGCCACACCACCCTGAACATGCTCAATCTCCTCTGATCTCAGAAGCTAAGCAGGGTTGGGCCTGGTTAGTACTTAATACTTGGATGGTAGAAGAACACCTTTTTAAAGGCTTGATAAACATTGTAATCTTGTAATTCTTATTTATTGCTGCAGTATTCAAATTCATAGATTCAGCCTAGATGTCTATGGACAAATAAAAGGATGCAAATTATGGTGTACAATGAAATTTTATGCAGTGATAAAGAAAAATGAATAATATCATCTGAAAGTAAATATGAACTCAGGAACATCAATACCACACTTTCTATGTCATGTGCAATCTCTCTGCATGTCTTTTTGTGTCTCTGTTTTTCTGGCTGGCTATATATATCTGGTCTCAAGTAAGGAGACAGCGAGAAAATTAATATCAGAATAAATGTGACATAAAAATAGATTGATGAACTATTTGGGGAGGAGAATATCAGGAAGATGTTGGCCTTGGTGATAAGTGATGACAGTGAGTGAGGGAGATGAATAAGAAGAGAATAAAACAATGCATGTGCATAATATGAATGAATGAAAACATTTTGTATGGCAAATTAAAAATAAAAAACATGGTTAATGTCAAAATATATTTAATAATGTGATTTAATATACATGGCTTTCATTTGTGGGAAGTTATGGATCTTTGTGTAATTGGATTTTTCCCATAAGAACTTTTCATCCTTCCTTAAATTCACATCTGAGAAAAGATTAGTGTCTAGAACTTATATACATGCATCCACAAAAACTGAAAATCAAGGAAACAACCCAATTAAAGGATGTAATACTTAATTGAATAAAGATATCAATGATTACTGAACAGGTTAAAAGGTACTAAATTACCTTAGCTACACACCAGTCAGAATGGCTAAGGTCATGAAAGTAACTGAAACAAATTTTGGGGAAGATGTGAGGGAAAAGGAACTCTTACCCACTATTGTTATGATCATAAACTGATACACCCACTATGTAAATCAGTGTGGAGAATCTCCTAAAAGGTAAATATAAATCTACCATATGACCTAGCTCTACCACTCATTGAAATATCCTAAAGGATTTGACATCTTATACTTGCAGATACTTGCTCAGCCATGTTCATTGCTGCTCTGTCCACAACATCTAGAGAATGGAAACAACTTAAATGTCCTTCAACTGAAAAAAATGGATAATGAGAAAATGTGGTACGTAAACACAATGCAATAGTATTCAGCTGAAAAGAAAAATGAATTCATGAAATTTGCCAGTAAATGGATGGAACTAGAAAAGACCATACTGAGTGAGTTAATCTAGACCCAGAAAAAGAACTGCCCTTGATCTCTCTTATTTGCCAATTGTAGTTCTAAATTTATAGATCTGAGTACATAACATGGAGTAACCACAAAAACACAGAGCAAGAAGGGGCCATAGGGGATGGCAGAAGGAGTTGTAAACACGGGCATCATAGGAAACAGGTTCGCTGAAGTGGGAAACAAGAAAAACATGGTGTGTGTGTGTGTGTGTGTGTGTGTGTGTGTGTGTATGATAAAAGTACACATACAAATGCACTTAATGAAGACTGGCATTGATAATGCTCTCTCCATCTTTCATTATAGACTATATAAACAAAAATTCCAGAGCCAGGCATGAGAAGTCTCTCTTTGACTAGACATTAGAGGAGTTCAAGAGCCTCCCAAAATAATATAGGCTATTGCTGTTATCCTTGGTTGCCTTGTAAAACCTGAAAGTCCCCATTGCTAAAGGCAATATACACTTCAGATAGACAGCTTGTAAAAATTGAGCTAGAACTGACCTGGAAATGCCCTCCCTTAGCAATAGTCTCATTATCAGAAGGTGCTATGCAAGTAGGCATGCTAGAAAAGGAGTAAATAGTCCTACCCAACTGTGAAGACAACAATCCACAGCAATAGCCCACAGTGCAAGTTATACCCAAGGGTACAATAGTAGCACTTATAGCTCACAGGATTACCAACAGTTGTCTAATTAGACTTAAGGACTAGTCAGTAGGAGGGAACCCATGTGTGCTACGGCAAACTTAGGCAACTAACCAAGGCTGGTGTGTTCATGGTCCCCAGAGGTGAACTTACTGCTGCCAGCTTCCTAAACCAGTATAATTTCTAACTACTTCTAAATACCTTTCCTTATACTCACAGATAAATGTAATTCCTACTCCTCATTTTTTAGAAGAAAAGACAAAGTACTTGTTGAGGCAGACAGAGCAGAGTATTCTAGCTGTGGGGTATTCATCCCCAGCTGATACACCAACAACATAACCCTCACACCTAAGTTTCAGGGAAGGGAGCGGGGAGATTATAAGAGCCAGGGGACAAGGAACCACTGTCAGATAGTGTTTGGTTTTGTTTTTATTAAAGGGAAGCTGAACCTAAGAAATCTTAACAATATGGCTGCTTAAATAAGACCTGCATAGTGACGATACCAGTTGGCACTTCAATGTGGATGGGGGAAATTTTACACATAGATGAAGATCTATAGGCAACTAATGACTACTAAGTGAGGGAGAATTAATTTTCTCAGGTTCCTTGATAAGTTAGGCAATACCAAATCAAGTGGTCATCTTTAAACACATATCAGAGATACTAAATACACTCAGTAGGAATATAGGAAATAATAATATATATGAGATACATGAAATAATAATATATTATATAATAATAATCAAAAGAAGATAAGAAGATGAGGGAGTAGAGTGGACATGGGAGGATTTGGAGTGGAGAGAAAGTTGGTAGAAATGCTGTAAATAGAGAACTTGTGTCTAAAATGCTAAAAATTAATTAAGTAAATAAATGTAAACAAAGAAAAACTGCTTTGAGATTCCATTTCACCCTGGTCAGAATTGCCATTGTTAGAAATACAAATGACAACAAATACTGGCATGCATGTGAGAAGGCAAACCCTTACACATTGTTAGTGAGAGTGTGAACTATTGGAGCCACTTTGAAAATCAGTATGTTGGTTTCTCTGAAAAACTGGAAATAGTACCACTATGAGACCAAGTGATACTACTCCTTGGTATACAGTCAATGTATTTCATATCCCACTGCAATAAATATGTACATCCATGTTCAGTGCAGCTTTATTCACAATAACTCAAAAATGGAGTTAGCCCAGATATCTATCAACTGATTAATGAATAAGAAAAATATGGCACATATAAGCAATACAGTATTACTCACTGATAAAAAGAAAGATGAAATCATGAAATTTTCAGGTTAATGGTTGAAACTGGAAAAATTACACTGAAAAAGTTAATGCAAGACCAGAAAAAAGCACTACCCTACATATCTTTTCATATGTGGACTCTAGCTTCAAACCTTTTGTTTTATGTATTTAACTTGGTGAACAAGTGGACACCAGGAGACCGGAAAGGGGCAACTGTGTGTGGGAGTTGTATTAAAGAAGAGAGGATAGTAGATTATAGGTAAGAAAAATAGACAGGTGGATTTCTCTGGGTGGAAAAGCTTAAATAAGAAGGGGCACTGGAGTATGAGGGTAATTAGGAAGAATGTGTGTGTGGGAACTAATATCAAAGGAAGGGGGTATGAAAGTTCAGTTGGAAGCCTACTATATCACGATACAGCTAAAACAGATTAATTTGAGGAATTGTAGAATATCTAATATGCAAAATATATGAAGAAAAAGAAATATTAGGAGTTAAAGAATTAAACAGGCCAGGTGTTGGTGGCACACACCTTTAGTCCCAGCACTTGGGAGGCAGAGGCAGGCTGATCTCTCTGAGTTTGAGGCTAGTCTGGTAGCGGGTGCCAGGATAGGCTCCAAAGCTACACAGAGAAACCCTGTCTCAAAACACCAACCCCCCAAAACAAAAGAATTAAACAGAGATGGGGGCCTAGTGATTATGGGGAAAAGGAGTAGTGAGTGGCTAAACCAATACTAAAGATGCATAAAAAAGCCTCATGGAAATTCATTTGTTTTTAAGCTAATTTCAAAATACAATAAAAGGAGTTGGCATAGATATACTGGGCATGATGGGGGTGGTGGTGACAATGTTGCTCCAGAAGATATGGATTATTAAGTCAAAATCACAGTACCAAGCACAGGTTTCCTCCCTATGGGTTATGGGTTTCTTTCAAGTGAAAAGAAATAACACAAACAAATTTATGTATGTGTGTGTGTGTGACACTTTCTCCTTACTACACATGCATGCACCTTGAAAATTCAATCCTTTTTGTCACAAGTCTTGGTTTACACCAAAGAAAACAATACTATGAAAAGTATGCTCATCTCTTTATTAACTGAAAGAACATTACAATGACAAGATATTTTTCAGTTTTTAAAATAGGCTTTTCACTCCTGACTATCATAGCTACATGAGATCTGCACTTTCCGTAAGAATTTTCAAAATTAAACAAGCCATTTTATTTAAACAGGGAAGACTTTAAAATTAGGGAATGAAAACAATGAACTATTTTCCCTTCCTTTTAGAGATGACTCCATTAGTGAAACTATAAAAGAACATGTTAAATTTTGAAAAAAATCAAGGGGGCAAAAACACAATTTCTAAATTGTAATTTGTAAATTTTTTGTGAATTTAGCAGGTGTAATAAAGCAGTAGGAAAGTGTCAGACTGAAGTCTTTAAAATCTTGACGTTTCAGTATTCAGATCACTAACAGAAAACCTTAAACATGTTCTTCAGTGCTTCTTCAATAACCCTCGAGTTTAAGTGCTGTGGTGCTCAGTGCTTAGGCATGTATGAACAGTGCTGTTGGAATAGTTTGTATTAAAACTGATCCAGGTTAATGTAAAACCACACTTTTATTGAAACATAATAGTATATCAAATAATTACATTTGTATCAAAGAATGCTGATAAAACTAAAGATGCATTTGTAAATGAGAGATAGGTATAGTTGAGAAATGGTTGACTGTGAATCTTTCACTTTAATTTTTAGTAAGTCATTTGCTTTTGCATTCCCTTATGCTTTAAGGACAAACTTTGCTAAAGTTTGATTCTTGGAGTTCTTATCCAAGGTTTTGGGGGAGAGCCAACATGCTAACTTTGATTGTCTATGAAGATGGCAACTACACAGAAAATTACCATTTTCTGCTGAAATTTTAACTTTCTTTAGGAACTAAAAAATTTGTAAAATTATGTAAGACTGTAATAAGGTGTATAGCCATAGAATGTACCTGTAAAATCCAGGAGTAATAATAACCACATCATTATAATTAACTCAAAAACTTGCTTTTTAAAATGAGATTTTCTTTCACTAAAACTTAGAATAACTGTTCCTTTAAACAAAAGGTAGCTACAGAAATTTGCTAATTAGCAAAATGCAATAACACTAATCTCTGTTCTAGTCACAAATAAGGCATCAGAATATTACTGGTTTAAAATTAAAAACTTTTTGTTATTTTAAAATTTGGATGTATTCCTTATATTTTTGTAGTTTGCATTTCATCCTAGTTGCCAAAGCTTGCTTGCCTTGATACTGGGACGCAGTAATTTTAACATATTTTTTAAGTTACAGAAGGTACAAAATGAAGAAAAATATACCAGCCAATATCCGTGGAATATCTATTTCACAGCAGGAAGTGAAATTCTTTGAAACTCAAAATAACTTCTAATAGAAGACTAAGCATAATATTCTCTTCAAAAAATATTAGGAACAGGATTGAGAAAGAGAAGTGGGAATGCATTAGATTCCCCACTGGATTCTGTAGACAACTGGGGAACAACATTTTCAATAGCATTTGCAGTATCTTCTTGTGTAGTAGAAATATTGTAGTTTATATAATCATGATCACATAAAGCTGATAAGACATTTGATTCATCCTTCAGAGTATCTAAAAAGAGATCATTAGAATCTTGAAGATTTTCTCCAAAATCACATATTGGTGTCCCATCTAATAGTAAAGGCTGGGTTTTTTCCATGCATTGTGTCATATGTATGTCTGTGGAGAGACAGTGCTTTATTACATGTGATGTAGAAGGAGAAGATTTATAACAAAGTACAATTCACAAGTCTTACACTGTTAAAGGCTTCATGAAAAACATTAACTGTTATCCTTCCACTCTTCTGAGTTACTCTAAAAATTGGTTATATTAGCCAAGAAAAGTGGGCTATTAATCTTAAAAGTTACTATCAACCTTTCTTACTATACACACAGACTATCAGTGTTTTGGTGCTTCTGTATGGGAAAAGATATTTAGTTTCATCCAAATACATGCTTAGAATCAAGGAGGCATTAATTAACCATGAGAACATAAATTTGGTTACACTATCCATAAAATAGAAGGCTGACTGTGAATGACTACGCCTAGTAAACAACAAAGAACTTATTTTCTGAAAAAGAGCTTTCAATGTCATGTGAGGAGTACAAAATTATAACACATCCTTGTCATGTTTGGTCGTGTTTTTTTTTTTTTTTTCTTAAAATCAGCGGCATAATAATATAGTCTCCCTGGAGTTTATAGAGCCATTATCAGGGTTCTTTCATATATATATTATCAGAGTTCTTTCATATATATATAATCTTATTTAAAATAACTTATGAAACAAGAAAAGTAGTTTACACAAGTGTTGACTAGGGCTTTCAGATGTTGAATGATTTGCTGGATGTCATATGGCTAGTCAGTTGTGAGTCTGGGTCTAGTGCGTACATTTTCTGATCATTCTAAAAATATTCTTTTGTACCTTTTTCTCCACTGGCTTCAAGCAGACTTCTTTCTCCTTCGTTTTCCATTAGACTTAGAGTCTGGATACAAAGAAAAAACACTAGAGTCCTTATCAATACGTCATTTTTAGTGATAAAACTAAATGACTGAGATAAAATCTATACCTTGAGGCTGGAACTGTATAGTGTGTTTTGCAAATATGAGGCTGTAGTTCCAATTCTCTGCACCCAAAGAAGCATATTTCTCGATAGACTAACACAGTTAAGAAAAGTACATTTCCCCTTATCTTGCTTTTTAAAAGTATAGTTTTCCTTCTTAACTGCTGTTTAGACAGAAGAAAAAAGAACAAATCACAGTACATCTACAGACAGCTATACCATGTAGGTCTATTTTCCATATAACTTGAACTAATACCGACCGATATTTATTGGACAAGAAAGACATAGCATGCAATGTTTACAAACATGCATTGAAATATATTTATTGGACAAGAAAGACATAGCATGCAATGTTTACAAACATGCATGTTTGAATGTTAATAACGAGACTCACCAAATATGCCTACTATGCCTGGCAAAAAGGAAATAATACTTCTTTCAAGTCATTTCTGTCTAAACAATATAACAAGAATGGATTGCCTCAAGGTCTAGCCCCATTATGGATCAATGGTGAAAAATAATGGTTCCACCTATATAGCTTCCCTAATTGGAGAAATCATTCTGAGAGAATAGGGTTTTATTTTTGTCTTAAAACCACAAGAACAGTAAGATATTACTGAACTAAGAGAAAGAACTGTAAATATAATTTCAAAGACAGTTGTCTAGGAGGAATTGTGTTTTCTTACTATTTGTAGACAAGTGAGGAAGATTTTTAAATTTTATTTTTATTATTTTATACATTTTAACTAATATACAATTATTTCACTTACCTACCTCCAGCCTCTCCCAGCTTCCACCCCTATAATTCCTTCCATGAACCCACTGTCACCCATCAAGGAAGATTTTTGATTGTTTGTTTTGAGATAGGGTTTCTCTGTATAACTCTGGCTGTCCTGGAGCTCACTCTGTAGAGCAGGCTGGCTCAAACTCACAGAGATCCACCTGCCTCTACTTCCCAAGCACCAGGATTAAAGGTGTACACCACCACACCTGGCCAAGGAAGATTTGAATAAAGACATTTTTCAAAAACTGGCTGCCATATTCTTTTGTATTTGTCTTTTAATTTATAATAATAACTATGGTCATTTCATAAGCCAATTAATTCCAGTCAAAATTCCAGGCTTTCTTTCATAAAATCTGGGTAACTATCCAATTATAATGCATTAGTGCATTTGTTGTTTAGATATTTGGCCATGTCAGAGACCAAAAGGCAGATTTTCCCTTTGTGAGATATTTTCACCCATAATTATAAAGTTATGGCATAAGAGAAAGGGGGTGAGATTCTATAGTAATTTTTTGTGAGTAAATAATGGATCATATGGTGATATTAATGCTAAGGCAGTCTTACTAATTCAGTCCTGCTGCACAACCCTGTGGCTGAGTTGTTTCTCAATAATTACCTTTGTCATAAAGAATAATTAAAATTATAGGACAATAGATATAACTGGAAAGGATTCTGTTCAGCAAAGTAACCTAAGCCCAGAAAACTAAATGCCATGTGATTTTTCTCACATGTAGATCTTAGCCTCTAACTGTTAAATATATGTATCATAATAGAAGTAAATATTGGTAAAGGTCAAGAAACTAGAAAAGGGTCCATTCCAATGGCAACAAGTGGCTTTAAGGAATCAGGATGGAGAAGGCAATAGAACAAACAAACTAGAAGAGGAATATAGGGACAAATAGGTTACAGCAGACCAAAGAGAGGAAGAGAAATATGTGGGCAATGTGGCAGAGAGAAACAACCAAGATGAAATGTGTGTGAAAATACCACATGAGAGCCCACTACTATGATATCCTGTATCAAATATATTAATATATCCTGTAACAAATATATTAGGTTACTCTTCATACTTCCCTTGCACCCTTGAGCAAAGTTCACAAGAAAAGTATGTTATTTCAGCATATCTACACTATAAAAGACCGTTAAATCAAACATATAATTCCAGTTATGATCCTATAGACTGGAATATAATAAGAGTCTTCCTTGTGTTTATAAATTTATGAACAAAGCAATTGTCAAGGAAAGCAGCAGTTCTTTTAGAAGCCTATGTCATTTTTTGGAGATAAGTTCTTACTATATTGTCTAGGCTGGCCTTGAATTCCTGAATTCAATTAGCTGGAACTATATGTGTGTGTACTAGAAGTATTTATGATACTGTATTAAGCTTACCAATTATTTATTATCACTACTTATTTTGTAAAAGTAGGAACAAATACTTTGTACTTGAATAAATTGGTTTCTAGTGTTATAAGTACCTGGAAAACTTGTATGCTGGATAGGCTTTGTGATTAATCACCATTAAGGCACTTAAAAAAGTGTGACTATGTCAATGAGGGATTATAAATACTATACCTTAAGCCATCTTATATTATTCACTTAACTGAAAAGACTTTTCTGCTAGTAATCTACTATGGTAAAATTCACGTGTAAATTACAAATAGATTATGTATAAAAAGGAATAAGGAGACAAGACATATCTCTTACATTGGTTTCTGCCATGATATCGATATCAAGTAAATTTTCAGATTTGTCTATCATCAAAACAGGAAGTTCATAACAGGCTGCCTGAAAAGAAATTACAAGGAAAATCCTCTAAATGCAATGACATATTATAAATAAACATCTAAACATCTAGCTCTTATGGAAATTTTGTACAGCACCGAAAGACACTGTGAAAAGAAAAGGAATGATGAATACATAAAATCACAAAACATGATAATTTTATATCAGGGAATATTTTAATGTTTAATATTTTAAGTTACTAAAAAAGGAAAACATTATTTAAAGGCACCTTGTGATGTTGCTATAAGGAAGGGAGACATAATGATTTCAGAAAACTAGGCAAATATGAAATATAGTAAATTGGAAATGCCAAGGTAATAGCACAAGTATTCTTAAGTCCTAGGCCTGATATTATCAGTGCTGATTTGCATATATCATTCTACCTTTTGAGCAATCAATATAAATGCAGGAAACTCACAAATTTAGGTTGGTAATCTTACCTCACCGAAATGGTCAAGGTCATAATTATCTGCCTTCTTAGAGAGTAATGAATTTGGCTCTACCAAATTTCCTTCAGTATGATGAATATGTATTTCATCCCTTCAATGAGAAACATAGAGACAGGTAGTAAAGATGAATGCAAACCATGATATTTTTACTTCAAAGAAACAATCTTTCAGTTTATTTATATGGTTTATTACACTGACATATTTTCATATATTGAACAATCCCTGCATGTCTTGATAAACCCTACTTGATCATGGTGGCTAATGTTTTTGATATGTTCTAGGATTAGGTTTTCCAGTATTTTATCAAGCATTTTTGTGCCAATTTTCATGAGGGAGATTGGTCTACAATTCTCTTTCTTAGTTGCAACTTTGTCTGGTATGGGTATCAGGGTAATTATTGCCTCTTAAAAAGTTTGCCAATGTTCCTTCTGTTTCTATTGTATGGAACAAGTTGAGGAGTATTGATTGGTGTTAGCTCTTCTTTGAAATTCTGGTAGAATTCTGCACTGAAACCATCTGGGCCTGGGCATTTGTTTTCGTTGGGAGATTTATTTTTATGACTGCATCTACTTCATTGGGGGTTATGGATGTATTTAAATAGTTCATCTGGTCCTGATTTAATTTTTGTATGTGGTACCTATTCAGAAAATTGTCCATTTCTTTGAAATTTTCCGGTTTTGTGGAATACAGATTTTTGAAATATGACTTAATGATTGTCTGGATTTCCTCAGTGCCTATTGTTATGTCCCTCTTTTCATTTCTGATCATCTCATTAGATGCTGAAAAAGCCTTTGACAAAATCTAACACCCCTTCTTGATAAAGGTCTTGGAGAGATAAGGGATACAAGGAACATACCTAAACATAATAAAGGCAATCTACAGCAAGTCAATAGCCAACATCAAACTAAATGGAGAGAAACTCAAAGTGATCACATTAAAATCTGGAAGAAGACAAGGCTGTCCACTCGCTCCATATCTATTCAATATAGTACTCAAATTTCTAGCTAGAACAATAAGACAACAAAAGGATAGGGTCTTGGTTCTGTTTAACCTTTTTTTTCCAGACTTTGTTGACTCCTCAGTGAAGGTCTTACCCCCTCTGAGAAGCAGATTAGGGGTGGAAAGGGGGGACGTGGGGGTGGGAAAAGGGGAAGGAGAGGGAACTGGGGTTGGTATGTAATATGAAAAATAATTCAAAAAATAGACAAGCTATATAGAAAACCAATAAATTAAATTTTGTTGGAAAAAAGAAACAATCTTTGAGAAATCCAGCAGACAATACGTTGAAAAGATTATGCTGGGTTCTAAACTAAGAAACCATAAACCAATATTGCACTTTTCAGCTACAGATATCTCACTTGCAGAGCATAAAGCCTACTGCTGAAGATTTCTGTATATGATTTACCAGGGAAATTACCAATACGGAGTCAGGTAGAAATACAAGGGTATTTAATAGGTGTTTAATAGGGAAAAGCCTTACTTACAGAGCGACCTAGCCAGCTGGTGCGGCAGCAGTCTGTACAGCAAGCCGAAAAGGAAAGCAAAAGTGAAACCCAGCCACCTGAACTTCTCACTCTAAGTCACCCTGACCAAGATGCGTGGCTACAGCTTCCCCTACAAGTTATAATTCAGAGTAGCCCACTTCTCAGTAAAATTCCAGAGATTTCAACCTAACAACCTCCAGAAAAAGATGAGAGGAAAAGGCCACATTAGTCTCTTTCTAAATAGGAAGTACTTTTTAACCCGAGAAAAATGACAATAGCCATAGGACAAGAGTTTTTTTTGCATATTTGGTACAAAATAAAGGTGATAAATTGCTGTCTCAGAGGGTAAGATCTAAGGCACCACAACAATATAACTAGCTGACCAAGAATAAGTAGAAGATTTTCACATTTATGAGATTGCATATTTAGAAATGACTTGATTCCTTTTAGGAAGAATGTCCAGTCTGATTCTCATCAAAAGATAAGAGTCTTCAGGTAGTGGTGGCACACTCCTTTAATCCTAGCACTCAGTAGGTAGAGGCAGGTGATCTCTGAGATCAAGGCCAGCCTGGTATACAGATCAAGTTTCAGGCCAGCCAGAGCAGTTACACAAAGAAAGCCTATCTTGCAAAACCAAAAGCAAACAAACATAAAAGATGAGAGTCCACAGTCTTGAATGTGTGGGGCACACACATCAGCAGCTTTAGTAAGAAAAAGTCTTATACACTTTTATTCTTTTCATCAGATCTGATGCTCTTGACTTCATTTTGTCGTTGATTCAGAAAACCAGGTATTCTAAGAATCATTTACATTTCTATCAATTATTACCAATATTGCTACTCAACTTGGCTTCAGGAGCCTATTAAATTCTTGTAGGCTAATACCATAGGAAACCTTGGTTCTCTTTATATCTTTCTTAATCTTTTAAATCTTGGACTTAGATGTGATGGCCAAGTCCATCTATGTTAAAACAACTCAAAATAATCATCCCAATCAATACTGTTGTTGTCATGGTTAATTAGATTCTGGTGAGACTCAGTGCCCTAAAAGGTAGATTATTTTCTTGTATAGAGTTGTTACTTTATGCACATATCTAAGAGTCTACACTGAGGTTTAGGATCAAACTGAGGAAGCTCTTTGGGGATGTGTATGTCAAGAAGATATTTATATATTAGGCCTACCAAGGACTACATATGATCTTTGTTCCCCTGAGATTGGGCAATGATTGTGAGCCTGTAATGAGGAATAATGAAATCTAAGATGATAAAGCATGCAAACAGATGATTGCAAGCACTGCTGATAAAGATGAAACTCAGGCAGACATCCTCAGGACAGAGATATGCTGACAATGGTGCCTTTTGGGCTCCAATTTAGTAGTATTTTTGCTGAAGCATACACAACCTTCAATTTTCAGGAAATGAAGATATTTCTCCTTTTTTCTTATAGTTCTGTTCCAAGCAGGAAGTTTCACTCTAATTTCAGAGCTAATATTGGGTACAGAATTAAGTACTTTACACTAGCAATGTTGGGTTCTCATTTTCATACCAGAGGAGAAACAATAAATGCATTATCTGAGTGTATCTGTAATGCAAGAGAAGCAATGAGAATGTCAGGAATTGAGGCACCTAAGGGAAATGTTTCTTTAATCACATCTTGCTTCTCTCAGCATACTATTAAACATTTTTTCAGAACTATGTAAATGTATACCTAAATTAAAGATGGAAGACACTGAATACCTGTTAATTGTATTGTTACACAGATTGTCTGATCTATCTTCCATCAAAATTGAATCCTGAGGAGAAAGTTCTAATTGTAAAGACATATCCTTAGGCTCTTGTTCAAAGGATTCTTTAGTTATTTGTTCTTGTAAAAATGGTATGGTTAAATCCAACTGAATGGTCAGTGAATCTTCATTTGGAGGTATATCCGGAACTGATACATTAGGGTCTTTTCTGAAAAATAGTGAGGAAAAATATTAACTCAACAAGTTGCAAGAGTTTAAATCCCATGGGCTATAGTATATCTATTTATCAGCAGATTTTAAATACTCAGATTAAAGAATTTATATTGTGCCAATATGCTCTCCTTTAATTTCATTTATATAACATATGACACAATGCTCAAACATACTGACAGAACAAATTATTATTTGGCAATAAAAATAAACTATTGATCCTTGATGAAGAATAACTGAACCTTGGAAACATAGTAAGAGAAATAAACCAAACACAAAAGTTTACTTTTATGATATTATTGATAAGAAGTGTCCAGAATAGTCAAATTTCAATTTTAGGGATACAAAATAATTCTTAAAAATGGGAATGAAAAAATATATTGGGAAAATGAAAATATTCTCATAAGGAATTATGATGGTGAATGAAAACTCAGTAACTGCACTATAAATAGCTGAAATATAATTTAAGTGTAGAAATTTTATAACATATATATATATTCCACTATTTTTCAATTAACCAATGAGTAGATAAGTGAAATGTATATACATGCAACAGAATACCATCTATTAATAAATTCAAGCATTATACTGTGTCACCTCAATTTTAATTGAGGAAGAAGTATGGGGACAATTTTCTTGTCATTTAAAAGAGGAAAGGAGGATGTGGAGGGAGCTAGAAGAATGAGAAGGAGAGAAGGGACTGGTGAGGAGGACATGAGTGAGCAGGAAGGTTGAGTTGGAGAACAGAGGGGAGCAAGATAAGAGATACCATAATAGAGGGAGCCATTATAGGTTTAAAGAGAATTCAGGTACTAGGGAAATGTCTAGAGATCTACAAAGATGTCACCAACTAACAATCTAAGCAACAGAGGAGAGGCTACTTTAAATGCCCTCCCCTGATAATGAGATTGATGATTAACTTATATGCCATTCTATAGCCTTCATCCAGAGCTGGTAGAAGTAGAAGCAGACACCCACAGCTAAACACTGAACTGAACTGGAATCCAGTTCCAGAGAGGGAGGAGTGATGAGCAAATGGGTCATGACCAGGATGGTGAAACGCACAGAAACAGCTGACTTGAACAAGGGGGAGCTCTTGGTCCAAAAACTGATAGCTAGAAACTAGCACGAGACTGTTCAAGACCCCATGAATATGGGTGTCACTGAGGAGGCCTTGGGAATCCATGGGGTCTCTTGTTGTAGATCAGTAGTTATCCCTAGCACAGGAATGGACTTTGGGATCCCATTACACACAGAGGGATACTCCCTGAGCCTAGACACATGGGGATGGGCCCAGGCCCTATCCCAAAGGATATGACAGACTCTGAAGACCCTCTATGGAAAGCCTCACCCTCCCTGGGGAGCAGAAAGTATATGGGATAGGTAGGGTGTTACTTGGGGGGGTAGGAGAGGAGGGGAGGGAGCAGTCAGAACTGGAATTGACATGTAAAACAATCTTGTTTCTAAGTAAAATAAAAAAATGGAGACAAAAATAAAAGGAAATATAACGGTAAAACAAAAATAGTCCTTTGATTATTATATTATGTAACAAGTTATATTTAAGCTTATATCAAGGGAAAGATACAAAAGCTACATTGCAAGCTAAAATTTCCACTGATTAGCATATAATTATAGCAGAGGTTAATTCTATCATAGGATTAATGATTTCTTTGCAGTAGAATAAGCAGTGGGTGGAAGGATGGATCACTGATTAACAGCACAGGCTGTTAACCTCTTCTTTCAGAAAAGCTGAGTTCAATTCCCATCACCAATATATTGGTTCACAATGGTCTGTAACTTCAGTTCTAGGCAATCCAAGGCCTTCTTCTGATATCCATGGGTACCAGACATGCAATTGGTGCACAGACATACATACAGGCAAATACCCATACACATACATTTTATAAAAATTCTCATGTAGATTAATCAAATATTTTCCTCATCTTCTGATTTGGCAATTAGAAAGCTCTCAAATATTTGAACAGCTACACATTGAACCTAAGAAGTTAAAATTTCAATTTAACCTTGAGGTAAATTTGTACAATTATAGATACTTGAGAGCTTTCTAATTGGCCTCTAGAGGCCATATATGCACTCATTTTGAGATGTGCCTACTGTTAGGAATATTTACCCCTGTTGATTAGGCAGCCATGACAGTCACTACTGAGGTGGCTTTCATCCTGTTGCCTTTAAGACGTACGTACGTACGTGTGTGTGTGTGTGTGTGTGTGTGTGTGTGTGTGTGTGTGTGTGTGTACACAAAAATTTAATTCAGGAACTATTGTTCTAAATTCTAAATATAAATTCTTCAAAATATGACATTCTTGCCGGGTGTTGGTGGCACATGCCTTTGATCCCAGCACTCGGGAGGCAGAGGCAGGAGGATCTCTGTGAGTTCAAGGCCAGCCTGGTCTACAGAGTGAGTTCCAGGACAAGCTCCAAAACAATACAGAGAAACCCTGTTTCAAAAAACCAAAAAAAAATGACATTCTCATTATTTTGCCCTTTAAACACATTTTTTTAGACACAGGTGACTTAGAAGCTTGCTAATATCCTTTGAATTCCTAGTTCTAGGATACCCAAGCCCACAGCTATAATGACCTTTGCCCCAAATATATCATCCCCACCAAAATATTCTACCTCTTGGGTTGCTTTTAATATTTCTTTAGGTTGTTTTATAAATATCTGCCTCCAAATGGTCATTAGAAGGCTTTTCTTTCCATACTCCTCTTGCTAGATATTCTTTTATAAAACTCTTTCTTCCTGTATCAGACTTGTAATGCTCCATCTGGCCTTCCATTTATTTAAATATCTAAACAAGGCTAGGGATGGTGGAGCACGCTTTTAATCCCAGTACTTGGAAGGAAGAATCAGGCAGATTTCTGATTCTAGGTAACTCTGATGTACATAGTGAATTGTAGGACAGTCAAGGCTACAAGGCTACAAAATTTTCAAAAACAAAAAGTCTAAACAAATTTCTAAGCATTTCATGTTTTAAATGTTTAAACAAATAAACTTGAATATGTCTCCCATCAATAAAACAGTCTTAAGAATAGCATACGCAAAAACTCACAAATATTCTTATTAAATATTGGGTAAAAATTTAATACTTTTACAAGTAACTCATGGAAAAAATACATGTATTAAAAATGTTCCAAGTCGTAGTGGCACCCACATTTTGAATGATAACCAAAGGGTGTCGGATTGGACTTAAGGCCCTCTCAACACTCCTGAACTATTTCCCTAGTCCCTGAAAATCTCATCTTTGTTGCCATTTTTTTTAAAAAAATATGTACTCATTACATTTATTAAACTTGTAATGTGTACAGATTTATTTTTTGTAGTGCTGAGTCATTAAACCTAGGGAATTCCATGTGCCAAGAATTACTTTACCTATGAGCTTAAGCCATTTAACTTACTTATTTCTTTCTTATAAATATTTTTCTACAAGAATTTCAAATATATATACTGTTGTGAGTGTGCTGTTCTGCAGTAATAAAATCCAGGTCAAACTGCTTTGTAAGTATTTTTGTTTTTGTGTAGGGGAATAAGCATTTAAATGGCTTCAACTACTACTATATGATAAATATATACAAATGAATAATATATTGCTAATGTATTACCAGTATAATGCTTCATTATCAATATATTGCCCACAAATCTGCTTACCCATCATCTCCACTTGGCTTGTCTACAGATGAAATTAACTTTTTGGATTCTTTAAAAATTGGTATGACTCTGTCAAGGAGGCTCTTATATTTGTCTTCAACAAGTTCATAACCATCTTTTACTATCTCCATCTAAATACAAAGATTAGAGAAAATTAGAGCTAGCTATGCTCCTAGAATATATCTAGTATTTCTTGGATCATAATTGATGCAATTCCCATACAAACTATTTAACAATTATATAAAAATAACAGAAACTAGAATTATAAAATTTACTGACAACTAAATTTTTTTTTGGTTTATCGAGACATGGTTTCTCTGTATTACTTTGGAGGCTGTCCTGAAACTCTGTCTGTAGACCAGGCTGGCCTAGAAGTCACAGAGATCTGCCTGCCTCTGCCTTCTGAGTGCTGAGATTAAAAGTGTGTGCCACCAACACCCAGCCAAATGTTTGTTTTTTAACTCATCCACCACCACCATTTTACTTCAAAATCTTACAGCTTCTTTCTTCTTGTCGTCTGGAATATGTAAATACTGGCGATCCCATTCAGAATCTGAAACTCCAGATAGCACTGATAGTGACCTGCAATGAGACCCACAAATTTAATGTCTTAAGCTATATTAATACTACAGTGGTCAGTCAGCTGTGTTGCGTAAAATCTACATTTTAGTCATTCTTTGACATAAGATTTCCATTAGAAATTAGTGCTATAGGTCTTAGAGTCAGAGGTAAAGGGAACTGCACATTTAAGTGAGAGGTCACTTAAAAGAGTCATTGAGCCACCTCCCAAAATGTTTAAATCTTCTAGTACACCTTGTAATCTAAAACTATAGCAAAGAGTAAAAGCTCCTTAAATTATACTTGATTCAAGAGCTGGGGAAGACAAAAGATAGATAAAGCCTGTGACATTTTATTATGTTCAAGATAGATATTAACTATAATGTTGTCTGGATATATTAATGGATATATTTTAGTAAGGATTATAATCCTTGAGATAAGTTATGAATATATGATTCTATACTGAAATAATTAACTGGATATATCAGGAAATGGAAATATTATTTCTCAAGTAGAATATAAACTGAAAATAAAGAATTATGTAAATATAAAACAATCACCACATACCACAATAGTATTACAAGATTCAAATAGAAATCTTCAATTATAGACTTCAGTCCCACTATCAGCCATCCAGTGAGGTGAGAGTGCATGCTGATATGTCTATCCTTGTGGCAGATCTTCACTCAGCCCTCATTTTTCCTTATTTAAATAGTATTCTGGGAAAAATAGCAGGCCAGCTTGGTCCTCCATTGTTTATATCTTGTATTTGTCCCACCCACTCATTTCTTTGTACACTTGCCTTCTTCTTTTACCTCCTCCAAAGAACATAGCCTAGCTTGGTTTACATGGTCTCAATGGTTCAACCTCCTGGGAAATGAGACTGTTATACTTTGTATGAGTGCATATTTATACTCTCCGTTTTTCACTACATCTTTAACCAAAATTCCCATATCCTTCCTTTTTTGTTCTTTTTTTCTTTAATCACTTTCCTTTGTGTAATGTTCCATTCTTTTATTTCCTGCATAGCAATCTAAAGTTAACCACTAGTCCCAGTGTTTTTATTTCTACTTCCATTCACAATACAATAACTAATATATTAGTTCACACCATGCTGTAAGTGTTCATTTAATTCCTAATACAATTGGTTCTTAAGGAGAAAGTTTTGAATGATTTTTAGTGAGCAGGTATTCTATTTTCATAGTGGGTGTGATAATTTTAATAGGAAAGGTCACCATAGACTCAACATTGGCTCACAGGCATTGGCACTATTAGGAGATGTGGCCTAGTTGAAGTAAGTGTGGCCCTGTTGGAGGAAGTGTATCACTGTGGAGTTGGGTTTTGAAGTCTTATATGCTCAAGCTACACACAGTGTGGCAAACAGTTTTTCCTTCTGCTTCCTATAGGTCAAGATGTAAGACTCTCAGCTCCTTCTCCAGCACCATGTCTGCCTGCGCACTTCCATGTTCCACCATGATGACAATGGACTAAACCTCTTAACTGTAAGCTAGCTGTAATTAAATGTTTGCTTTGTAGGAGTTGCCATGGTCATGGTGTCTCTTTACAGCAATAAAACCCTAACTATGACAGTAGGTTTACTGCTGGATAATAATATGTTTTGCTTTCCTTAGCAGGTACTCTGGTGGCACATACTTAATCCATGCATTATGACGTGTTCAGAACTAGACAAGAGAATAAGGATGCTTCTGAAGAATACTCAGAGTCAGCAAACTCACCTTTTCCTCTTTTTTAGTATGGAATGGTTTTCATTCATCAAATCCAAGATAAAATGGAGTACCTGAAAATAACACACTGTTTTAACTCTAACACCATTCTCAATATTTAGGGAAATCAATAGTAAAACATGAAGGTTGTGAGAGGTTCTAGAAAGTATAACTTTGCATAATCATTTAGCTTTTGCATGACTTTATATTGTAAATATTTTATATTTATGCACAGAGTGCCATCAAATAAAAATAATTCCTAGAAAAGAAAAACAAAGACTACTTTTAAAAAAACTTATACCTGTGTTAAGAGTTGCTGTTGCTCACAGTACTTTTTTCTTAAGTTTGTCATTTCAACACATAGGCCTGAATAGTCCCTGAAACAAAAATAGATTACTTAAATGGAGAAAGATGTTAGTGTTCTTTAGAACTTTGAAAATAAAATATCTAAAAATATGCTGAATTATCTGAATTAATAGTATCATTATGTTCTTCATAAAATTATACCTGTATTGTCCTAGTAGAATATTACTGCCTTTTAGTTTAAAAATCACTGCCTTTACTAGTTAATTAGTTCACACAGATTTTAGAGCAATGAGGTTTTAGTCGTGCTGATAATAACCTAAAGCACTGTACATGCTAGGAAATCATTCTACCACTAAGTTGCATCTCAACTCCATCTACATTTTTGAAAGCTCAGATTAACCTCATAGTTTGGAACTTCAGTGATCAATCAAATGACAGATGTGATATTTAGTTTTCTCACAATCCTACCTTATTACTTTTCTAGACTTAAGAAAACAAAACAAATTCCTTATTAATTAACTTCAATCACTTGAGGAAGAAAAGATTTTATAAAAATAAATGAGAATAAATAAATCTCCAGGTTGGTAGTTTTATATAAAACTATCACATTCAGGCTTCTATTAAATAATACAAGAGACACATGCTATCAGATTACATTTCTAATACTGAATTAGTTTTTATATACAAATTTTCATTGAGTTTTGTGTTTTAAGAATAAACAGCATTGTTTCCAGTTCCGGTTCATTATCGCTGCGCAGATTCATCTGAGGCAAGCGACCTGCCTGCCAGACCAAGTTCAGCGGCGGCGGTGAGTTCCGAACACCGAACACCCAGAGGCAGCCCGGCCTCCATCCGCTGGGCCAGGTAGGCCAGGAACTGTTTCCAGTACTAGTTCATCGTCGATGCTCAGAGTCATCTGACACAAGTGACCATACGGAGTTCGGCAGCAGGATCCGACACCCCGAGGCCCGGTGACAGCTCTACCTCCAACTGCCCACCCGGTGGGACTCAGCATGCCCGGACATTGCCAACACCCGGGTAACAGTGACACCTCCATCCACGAGAAGAGAACCGACATCAGAGTATTGGATCTGTTTGAATCTACCAGAAGGGAACCGTGGTCCCACACCCACCAGGAGAACAAGAAACACTTGTTACACTCACCAGAAGAAAGCATGAGAAGAGGACAAGGTAAAAGCACATCCAACAACAGAAAACCCAATATGACACCACCTGAGACTAGGAACCATACACCAGTAAGACCTCAACATCACGATGCAGATGAACCAGAAGAGAATGACCTTAAAAACATCTTCAGGAGAATGATAGAGGACCTCAAAGAGGACATGAGAAAATCCCTTAAAGAAATTGAAGACAAAACAAACCAAAAATACAAGAAACAGTTCAAGACCTAAAAACTGAAATAGAGACAATAAAGAAAGCACAATCTGAGGCAATGCTGGAAACAGAAAAACTGGGTAAACAATCAGGAACTACAGATGTAAGCATAACCAACAGAAAACAAGAGATGGAAGAGAGAATCTCAGGAGTTGAAGACACACTAGTGGAAATAGATTCATCAACCAAAGAAAATCTCAAGTCCAACAAATCCCTAACACAAAATATCCAGGAAATATGGGATACTGTGAAAAGACCAAACCTAAGAATAATAGGTATAGAAGAAGGTGAAGAAATCCAACTCAAAGGCACAGAAAACATAGTCAACAAAATCATAGAAGAAAACTTTCCCAACCTAAAGAAAGACATGCCAATGAAAATACAAGAAGCCTACAGAACACCAAATAGACTGGA